AAGCATAGAACTAAGAAGCTAAAGCCATTTCAGCGTGAGTTGCAACCCTGCCCCTGAGGTGACCACATGGCATGGCAGACCTCTCCTGACCCACCCACTGTTCCCCTCAGCAGTGTACTTCGTGGATCTGCCAGTTCTGATCCCTGCTCTGTGTCTGGTGAATCTGCCCACCGCTCCTGTACCTCTGGCCTGTACCCCAGTTCTATATGCATAAATAAATAAAATCTTTAAAAGAAAATACATACTAGAGATTATACCCATGGGAGTTTAATAAATATGTACTTTTTCTCTTTTCTGCAGCTAATACAGACTATAAGTGCAGTAGACAAAGATGACCCTTTAGGTGGACAGAAGTTTTTCTTCAGTTTAGCTGCTGTCAACCCAAATTTCACAGTGCAAGATAATGAAGGTAACTTGAACTTGTTCATCATGATTTAAGGTGACATTAAAATGAAAAAAAGCAACCATGCATATAATGTATTGATTTGTGTTACAGAAATTTTTAGTAACTACTTAGTAAGCTATTTTGGTAATTTTTTATTGATAGTGTTTGTTCTCTTGAATTTTGAAATAATACAATATATGAAAGAAACCTGTCTATGGATATTAATGAAAAGAATGAACGTCAGTAAGAAGGCTGGACTTGTGGGCTAACGAAAGGCGTGACTCAGTGAAACTCTTATATAGACTTTGAAGAGATTTAGTAGCAGCAGCTTCGACAAAGTCAAAAAAGACACAGGAGAGCAAGAATAGAGAATTGGCCATATTAACTTGTGAGGGGATAAAAAACAAAAGCATAGTTGCAACGGGCAAAATATATTATTGCCATGTGTAATATATGAACTATGTCATTGTAATAAAAAATGCTAAAATTCTATTCCATGCATCATCAGAAAAATATTTTAGAAGAGGAAAAGAAAATACTATTTCTATAAATTTAATGTTTGGGCAGAAAGTATGGCAAATATGCTAATAATCCAAGAAAGCATAAAACTATACCCTTTCTCTAATTTATATTTCTATTAGACTGAGCATTAAATCCCAACAAGCTATTTCTCAATCTTACTTGCAATTGCATTGTCTTATCACAGATAAGTCAAAACTAGTAATAATTTTTGACAAGTAGAAGTATTTTCCTATACTAGGAAAACTCCCTTATCCTAGATAAGGTATTCAAAGCAGGGGCTTAATTGATATGAATATAAATCAGAATGTGTAGTTAAATAAAACACCAGTAAAGTCTGACAGAATATTTGACATGATCCCACATAAATTCACTATTTTCTGTTATTGGGTGGATTTCTAAAAGAATTCTGATGGAAAAATAGTTTTATTTTGTAAACGTGTATAGGATCTTCATTTAATGTTTATGTTATGCTCTGAATCAATCATTAAAAAATAATTTTCAACTTCTCTGGTCTTATATTTGGAGTTTTTTTCATTATGAATATTCATTTTTGTTTTTTAAAGATTTATTTTTTTGTGCATACACAACTGGGGTACAGGCCAGAGGTGCAGGGGTGGTGAGAGGCTTCACCAGAGACAGTGGGGAGCAGAACAGGCAGATCAACTAAGTACACTGCTGAGGGGAGCAGTGGGCAGTCAGGAGAGGTCTGCCACTCCATGTGGTCACCTCCGGGGCAGGCGGGAATCGAACTCATGCGGAATTGGCTTTTGCTTCTCAGTGCAGTGCTTTAACCCGCTCGCCACCAGGGAGGGCTAGAATATTCATTATTTTTTTGACCTTGAGGTCAAAATCATTATTAACACATCTTTCTGAATAGAATGGTTAGTTTAAGGTAAAAATTCATTTGATTCTTCAATATATCAAAGCTATCACAGGCAAAGTTAATTGTAAGATTGAGAATTTTTTAAAAAAAGTTAAAAAGGAATGAGGTGAGAAGATTCTAAAAATATGACCTAGCATGTAAAGTTTATTTCAGTGTATATTTGAATATGGAAGGAATGTTTCATAATACTTTTTAGATCCTAATACATTTTAGAAGATAAATCAAAATTGTGACATCATCTCCACTACATCTTATTTTTTTAATTTGCTTATGCACATCTGTTTTGCTAATCAGTTTGCCTAGCATTTGTGTTTAGTCGATAGGGTCGAAATTATACTCTGTTAGATTAGGAAATGATTCTTTGTGTTCAGCCACAGTACCCACAAGAAATTGTCACGCCCCTCCCTTTTGTTCACTTACCAATTAGCTAATCTGCTCCTATCTCTACATCAGCATTGACGTTTTAAACTGCCCATGGGACTAAATGAGGTAAGTTCATTGGACAGACAAACAGCGTAGGAAATTATCAATCAAGTATACTGGCTTTATTTCTTAATATTGGTTACTTAGGACTAGTGGGTCCTTTTTAATTAGCCCCGCAAACATCTAAGGATCCTGGGTAAATGATCAGATAAGGAAATATTCAGCAGTACTGTACTAGGCTGTCAACCTTTACTGTGAACTTTTAAAATTATAGTTACTGAGTAGCACCAGCTTGCAAAACCATATGTTTTAGAGGTATAGGCTTACACCTCTACAAAGCATGTCTTTTGTTTGTTTTTTCTTTTTACTGTTATTTACTCTTATTGTTGTTTTTAATTTTTGTTATTGTTTACTAATTTTTTTCTTAGTTTCTTTTTGTGCATCTAGGACTCATTCACCGTCCCCCACACATTATAGGCATTTCCATGGGAGGCAATCAAAGTCCATAAGTATCAAAAATCTTTGACTATATTCATACATTGAAAGTTTTAGACTGAATTTTTCATTTTAAAAGTGTAACTAATTTTTGTTACCCAGTTATATTTTTCTTCATGCATATTACATGAGTGTGTTGTGGCATATATATGCACAAAGAAAAATCTATAAATGAATGTATTAGGATTTTTTCCTGATAGAAAAAATTGTTCTCTGAAAACTGAAAAACAACACGTTAACGCTACGTAGTTTTTTGTTTGTTTGTTTGTTTGTTTAAAGAATTATTTATTTGTGCATACAGAACTGGGGTACAGGCCAGAGGCTCAGGGGCGGCAAGAGGCTTCACCAGAGACAGAACAGGGAGCAGAACAGGCAGACTGACAAAGTACACTGCTGAGGGGAGCAGCGGGTGGGTCAGGAGAGGTCTGCCACGCCATGTGGTCACCTCCGGGGCAGGCGGGAATCAAACTCATGCGGAAGTGGCTTTAGCTTCTCAGTGCTGTGCTTTAACCCGCTGCGCCACCAGGGAGGGGCAACGCTATGTAGCTTGATAGATAATTCAATTATAAAATTTCACCTTTTAGGAAACACGAAGTATTTGAACATCAACTATGAGCTCATAGTAAATTCCTCAATCCATTTTATCTTGTTTATATTTTAATAGCATTGTATGGGATTGATCTTATGGGAATATTGAGATCTATTATATAATTTATATCATCATGTTTTTATTTATATTTCAAACCAGGTTTAGCAAGAGGAGGCAAGTCTACTGTTCCCAGCTATTTATAATATTTTGGAATTTATTTTAGATAACACTGCCAGAATTTTGACCAGAAAAAATGGATTCAACAGACATGAAATCAGTACGTATCTCTTGCCGGTGGTGATCTCAGACAACGACTACCCGATCCAGAGCAGCACCGGCACGCTCACCATCCGGGTGTGCGCCTGCGACAGCCAGGGGAACATGCAGTCCTGCAGTGCAGAGGCCTTGTTGCTGCCTGCCGGCCTCAGCACCGGGGCGCTGGTCGCCATCCTCCTGTGCATCATCATTCTGCTGGGTAAGAAACTTTCGAAAAATGCCAGTGTTTCCAAAATGGCCTGCTTTCGTGTGTTTGTGAATAAGAAGAGTTGTTATGGAAATAGCCCCTTCCCCACCCCATGATTAAGACAAACTTCAATAAACTATGGAATATAGTTCATATTAAAGTGTATTATCTGATCAGGTAAAGTCTTTATCTTCCTTTTAAAAGTAATGAAACTGTTCAGCTGTCATACAAATAAATGAAATCTTGCCATTTGCAGCATGGGTGGAACTGGACAGGATGATTGATACTTAGTCAAGTCAGTTAGACGGAAAAAGGCAAATACTGGATGATTTCACTGAGGCTGAAATGTGAAGAAACAGAACAAGGAACAGATAGTAGTCAACCGAAATAAACGATGAAATCTGAATGTAGGCCTGAGGCTACCAGAAAGGGTGGAGGGGTGAGATGTGAGGGGCAAGATGAAGGCCACTGAGTGGTCACGACTATCAGTGCTTGGGTCATCTGTGTGGTGTGGGAACATATGTCTGAAGAGGGGTGATCCTATACCCCTAAATCTTAAACAGAGTTATAGACCCATTACCTCAGAAAACATTATAAAACATAAAAATATTCAAAGTAGAAGTTAGAAATATTCAAAATACTTCCTGAGATCATTCAGTTCCCCAGTGACTGAGTCAGTGAGAGACACTTTTGCTCTTTGCAATAAGAGTCATTGGATATTCAGTTTTCCAGTAAATTTAATGTTTATTTTCACCTTTTCTGAATTATGTCTGGTTAGAGGCCTTGCTTTCTCACCTCTTCACTGTAAGAGTATTAAAATAGGCCTTTACTGGTTCGCTTGTCCCCAAGCAATGATAACTGATTATATAAGCTGGAGCAAATGGCTTTTTAATCACTTTTGAATTAAAAATCAGATTAAATTTGCTCTCTGGTTGCATTATTTTAAAACTATTATGAGTATTCTTGTGGCCGTACTAAAAAATGCTATATCTGACATTTCAAGAAGCAGTGAAACTTGGATTTTGGAGGTGATCTTGGTTAAGTTTTATTACCCTCGTAATAGAACTGTTTTGTAGACTAACATCCTCTGGTTGACAGTAAAAGCTGAAGTTTAAATCTTTTCATCACGAGTGTGTGTGTATACATGGATACGTGAATTTAGATAAATAAAATCTTCTATTTTCTCAGAAACTTGAAGAATAAACATTTCTTCTCTCTCAGTGGTAGCCTACTTATTTTTCAAAATTCTGAGGTTCAAAAACACATACCAATGGGTTAAAACTTTCTTTTTGCTGCATTAAAAAAAAAAAAGTTTTTTTTTTGCAGTTTCATACAAACATGATAGCAAGCAGTCTGTTATGTGCTAACGAGAAAGAAAACATAACTCCATTCACCTTGTACAGTAATATCATGGTCTTTTGTCAATTTAGGCTGCTAGAACAAAATACCACAGATTGGTAGCTTGAACCTCAGAAATTCCTTTCTCACAGTTTCTGAGGTGCTGGCAGATTTTTTTCAGTGTGGCATCCTTCCTAGTTTACACAGGGCTGTCTTCTATCATTTCCTTACATTGTGGACAGCAGCGAAATTCTCTCTGTGTCTCATTTTGTAAGGAACATCATGAAGACTCCATCTGCACCAGCCAATACCCTAAGACCCACCTCCCAAACCCATTAATTGGGGATTGGCTTCTGTATATGAATTTTGAAACAAACATTCCGTCCACACTAACAATAACCCCCCTGCATTTTAAATGTTTGTTTTAAAGAAAATTGTGTGTGTGTGTGTGTATTTTTATGAGAGAAAGATGGGGAAAATTGATTTTCCTACCCTTTTCCATTCTAACTGAATTCACATCTGTTTCTCCAAATAATTTTGAAGGCTGAAAACCAAAATATTTGGGGGTAGTGAATGAGGATGAAAACCTTATGCAATCAGAGGGCATTTGTTATTAACTGTCTTTCATGGTATTGTCATTATTTTGAGTATTTATTACTATTACTGATAATTTAATCTTTTTATTTATTTTTTTTTTTTGTGTGTGTGTGTGCATACCATGACTGAGGTGTAGGCTAGAAGTGAGGGGGAAAGAGGATTCACCAGAGATAGAGTGGAGAGCAGGACAGGCAGATATACTGAAAAATACTATTGAGGGGAGCAGCAGGCAAGACAGAAGTCTGTTTTGCTATTTGGGTCAGTTCCCTGGCCAGGGTTGAAACTCAGGCTGTAGTGTGATAGCTTGACAGCACTGAGATTTACCTCTGAACCACCAGGGATACTAGTGATACTTAGTGAAAATATCTCACAAAAGTAAGGAAATAACCTTCCTGAGTGATGCATATTTCTTGTTACTGTAGATTTAGACTTGTTTAAGATGCATCTAGCTGAAGACCATACAGGGTTTTAGGAGCTAATCAAATGCTGTCATTTGCATTTGCTCTTTGCTGTCATGTGATCGGACATCTGGGCAATACATATTTCTGTGGAAAGGCTCATACATTTCTAAGCCGCTTGAATGTCTGTCATGATCCATCCCCCTCACCACCATCCCCCCGCCAACCATTAAAGTCTTCTTTTAATTCTCTCTCTCTCTCTATTAATCCATGTAACCCACCAGCCAAACTATTTGGAAGAAACTAGTACTGCTATTTTGTGAAGTCTAACTACTGGACAATGATGTGAAAAAATATGGGCATGATTGTGCCCTTCTTGGTTGTTTTATTTGAAGCTGAGTTCAATGAGCTCAAAGTTCAATTTTTTATATGCCATCATATGTCCCATTTTAATGCAGAGTATAAACAGTGTCAGTACCTGCCTTTAAACAGGACTTAGAAAAATAGATAAAATATCAGTACATTGAAGACATAACCCACATTGCTTTAAAATTAAGTTAGTGCAGTCTCTTAGGCTCCAACCTTACATATTGCAACACCCCCATCCCTCCCACCCCTGAAAACTAACGACGTACAAAATTCATGTCAAATTCCAACGTGTCACGAAAATCTAAATAAATAACTGACACTCCTTTCGAGTACTTCACTCGTTATGGATACCGTGTTCCAGAGGGGCCGCTAATGCAGCTTTTCTTTCTTTTCGTTTTCAAGTTATAGTCGTGCTGTTTGCAGCCCTGAAAAGACAGCGGAAAAAAGAGCCTCTGATCTTGTCTAAAGAAGACATCAGAGACAACATTGTGAGCTATAACGACGAAGGCGGCGGCGAGGAGGACACCCAGGCCTTTGATATCGGCACCCTGAGGAACCCTGCAGCCATGGAGGAGAAAAAGCTCCGGCGAGACATTATTCCCGAAACTCTCTTTATCCCACGGAGGACTCCCACAGCGCCGGACAACACGGACGTCCGGGATTTCATTAACGAGAGGCTCAGGGAGCACGATCTTGACCCCACCGCCCCGCCCTACGACTCCCTGGCCACTTACGCCTACGAGGGCGACGACTCCATTGCGGAGTCGCTGAGCTCCTTGGAGTCGGGGACCACGGAAGGAGACCAAAACTACGATTACCTCCGCGAGTGGGGCCCGCGCTTCAACAAGCTGGCCGAGATGTACGGGGGCGGGGACAGCGACAAGGACTCCTAACCTCACACCTGCCCCGATCGGACAGCCGAAGTCTCTGCACCGACCCGGCGCCAGGTCTCGCTATTTGCTCTTCAGGAGGATTTTCCTGCCACTCAGCACAATGTTTTCCCATTTCCTTGTTAATTTGTTCATTACTTACATTAATTCTTTCCTGTAGGCTGTCTCATGGAATATATACGACATTTTATTTAATCTCTTCCAAGAGCCAAAGCTATGGAAATTCAGTGTTGTCCATCTTAGGAAATAAAAGATAATTTCAGAAACACGAACAGGATATTGCTCCCCTAAGCAACCTCACAAACAAGCCGCTTCTGTTAGATACAAGTCCTGCCCTTGCAAATGAAACTTTGAAAAAGGTGAAGAAAAATGTTAAGGTATATCCTGTTCTGTACATTAAGTTAAACAAAAATGTACATGTGGTGTTAGTAGGTGTGATATGCAACCTGGTATACAAACGTTTGTGCAATTTCATTTCATCAAATTCTATCTGCTAATGTTTTATATTTATATTTTTGTATTTATTTTTAAAAAAATAAACCAGTTTTTACAACTACCTTGTCTCCAGCTTTTTTTTTCCCCTCTCCTAGCAGAAGGAAGTTGCTTTATGAACTAAATATCTCACTACAAAACTGTGCTGAGTGCAAGGAAGAGCACAAAATCATTACAATTACTACTGAGAGTAATTATTGAGAGTGCTGTTGAGAGTACTTTAGCCAAATTAATATGATCTAGGTAAGAATTATTTTTCCAATGAGTCTTATGTCATGAGATGTGAAAAAAAATCTTCCCATTAAAAAAGTCATTAATAGACAACTCAAAAATTTACCATTTAAGCAAATTTAAAACTGAGCCATCCTTATTTTAAATATCCCACACCAACAACTGAGTATTTCTTTTTGTTCATATTCACTACAGTGGTAACCAAGAATACAATATTTTCTTATTTTTTGTCTGACGTTTTTGCTACTGAGATCTGTAGGGAATAATAGTTCACACAAATTGTAGATCGAAATAACCCTTTAATGGGAAATGCACTTACCTTCCATAGTGACCTTGAACATGCCTGGTAATATCAGTAGTTGTGCTGAATATTCCATCAACATACAGTATTGTAATCATGCTTTTCAAATGCATTGAGTATTTATTCCTAACAACATCTCTTTTTATGTCAGTGACTGATTCAATAGAAATCAAAAATAAATAAATAAATAAATAAATACAAAAAAAAAAACCTGGCAGTTAATTATCAAGAGATCCCAAGGTTCATAGAAGCCAACTGCCTCTAACTGATCCCTCCATTCTTAAGCTCCAAACATGACTTATTTATAAATGGAGTCCTTTGTTTGGCCTATGCTAGAAAGTCACAATCCCTGCTGAGTATATGGTAAACAATACCAAAGATTTCTGTGCTCTCTAATTAGTGAAAATACCATGCTTTTAAAGTCAGAGTGAAACACTGACATATCCTTAATGCATAATTAATTAATTCAATCTCTTTGAATGACTTTCTCCCCAAACTTCCAGACTGAAAAGTCACAGCCTTCTGATCACAGACATTTTACTTTATATAGTGATCTAATAATGAAGGGGGAAAAAACCCATGTGGTCTACATAAAGTTACAGTGTCATTACAAAGGCGAAGTTGACATTAGAACATAGAACTACTGGTTCTACTTCCTCTATGCCAAGCACTCATTTAAGTAGAGGGAAGAATGACTGTTAAAAGAACAAAGTTGAAGGGGAAAAAATTGATCATATATGCTAATCTGAAAGAAAAGAGAACCCTCTATTTCCCAGAAGGATTATTTATTAACAATGAAATCAAGAACAACAACAACAAAAAATGAGCTAACAGAAGCTATTTCTTATGAGGGCTTGAAACTATAGTATTGATTGACTTGAATGTAAGTTTTAAAATTTCTAGCATTAGATATTTTTAGTAATATTAAATAACAGCACTTAAAATTCATATTGGGATATTTTTAATTTTCTTCAGGCCATTTCACCTTGTCATTGACTTGCTCCATTTGTTTTGTCATCCAAACTTCACAATTAAAAAAAAAATGTAACAACAGTTTTCAACTTCATTCCAAATAGATTGTCAAAGTTTGCCTTTAAAGAGATTAACTGGCAATAACGTGTTATATTGTACATACATCATTTCCACATCATTTCCAGAGTACAGAAGTGGTCCTAAAGAACAGATACCTATTATTTTCATAATGAAAGTGATATGTTTAATTAATTTCTTGGAGACCTTGAAATTAGAAAGTATGCCTGTAAGGATCTGTTCAAACTCTCTTAGTTGTCATTCTTGCGTCTGCTTGCCCAGTAGATACAGAATCAGAAGCTTACTGTCACTCTTTTTTTTTTTCATGATAAATTCAAATAATGTGAAATAAAAGGAGTTACCAATCTTAGTCAATGGAGTCATGATTAAGGTAATTCTTGGTCATTGGTTCTATTTTTAACAAAATGTCAAGGAAACTTTGTGCAATGATAAACTCATGCCAAGACCGAGGCTTCTATGCACCGATATATCATTAGAGCTTATATTCTACACACGTGTATATGTATATGCATGTACCTATGACTACTATGGACTTCTAGAAAACTGTCAGAAACAAAAGTGTTTTCTAGTTCATTTACACAGATATAAGGATCTGTTCAGACTCTCAGTTGCCATCTTTTGTTAAATGACACACTTTTGTTAAATAATTTAAATAAGTGCCTATTTAACAAGAAAACTGAGCCTCTTCTCACAATCTGATAGAGTACACAGCTGTTGTGTTCTAATAGATTCATAAAGGGGTAGGTGGAGAGATTGCCACATCATTCAGAACTTACTTGTTAAACATGAATATTCAAGTCATATGGGTTTTTTGGAAGGTAATTGAAGTTAGTAAACTTGCTAATTATTTTGATAGAATACAGATTGCAAAAAATTGAATAAAATTTGAGACTGCTTCTAGAAAATTATTATATAAAAATGTTGAACTCAAAAATAACAAAATCATATTCAAGACAGAAAGTGAAAAATGAAACTAAAAATTTTGTAGACCCCTTCAATTCAAGAACGTAGTCTTTTCCTTCATTATTCTTTTAGTACACAGCATCCCTGCACATGATATCTTAATAAATTCATTAAATCTCTCCAACACCATTTCCCCAATTCCCTCCCTTTATTCCCCAATTGCTTTATCATCAATTAAGGTCATTCAGCTTCAAACTGACACTGTATTTACTTGACTGCATTATCTTCCTTCCCCCATCAGTATTAGTCTTCCCTTTCTGTAGACTATTGTAAAATAAATATGCTTGAATGGTGGCAGTCTTTATCTCCAATTTTCCCTGCTACCATCATTGAGCTTGATTTTTCTGCTATGTAGATAGAATGTGTTATCTTCAATCATGACCAAAACTCTACAGTGCATACATGACTATAACTAAATTAGTAGAGCTACTAGGTACTGAGTTTTCTCGTTTTCTTCTAGAAGAGCAGAAATTTAATATTACAAAGTTATTTACTGAATTTTTTTTCCAGCTTTATTGGAGTATAAGTAATCCAGTCCCCTGTTGTTTTCACTTATATAACCAACAGCCAGTGGACTCACAGCCTATCTTCTCTCCTTCCTCAACTACACCTATGTTTCCTAGACCATCTAGTCCTCCCCCAAAAAAATATGCAACCAATCTTTCTAAAACATGGTCATCCCACTCTATTTTCAAAGGTTTCAATAAAATCTCCTTTGCTTGAAGGTTAAATTGTGCTATTTTAGAAAATGCATAAAGTAACAAAGGATAGTCCTTTATTAAATTAAAAGATTTAAATGAGAAAGAAGTAACCAAGAGTATGGAATTATAGAAAACTGGTAGACAGTGTGTGAAGATTCTTTTCCAGCTGTGGAATTATCCTGAATTTGGAACATGACATTTACAACTCCACAGGAAGGATAGCATGCTACTCCAGCCCCAAATTTATCTAAAAAACCTCCTACACTATGTGAAATATTTAGAAGTATTCTTAAGACTCTGGCAATGGTCTCTACCTCTCTCCTTTTATAGTCCAGAGGACATTGAATTATTTTTTAAATTAATGTGTAAAATCTATGCCGCTGTATTGGTTTACATTTATTTGAATTATCCTCACTACTAATATAGCCTACAATGTCTCTAAAATGATTTTGTTAATGTCAATACATCTTTGTAAAAAAGAAATAGTCAAAACTTAGCAATTGATTTACTTCTGGTATGTTTTAGTCTTCTTCTAGAAGAGCAGGGATTTAATATTATAAAATTATTTTTCTGAAATTTTTAGCTTTTTTTCCAGCTACATTGGGGCATAAGTGACAAAATTTTGTGTATGTTTGAGATGTGCATCATAGTTATCTGACACATGCATGTATCTTAGCTGCATCAATTTCATATTTCTGTTTCTTCAGAGTTCAGTTTTGTTATAGAAAAAATTTGATTCTGTATTTGTAGTAACCAAGTATAGAAAGTACTCATTTGAAAGGATGTGGGTAGTTTAATAATTCCAACATATGGAACACTCTTTGGCAGGTCTATGTAAGTTAGACTAAAGCAACTCCTTGAATTTTTAGGTTATGTCTGGTTAAACATTGCAACCTGATAAAATGCTAGTTCCAAGCAGTGCATTGGACACCTAAATAGGTATCATAAAAATCCGTGTGCAGCGATTGATTAATCTTGGCATTTGGATACTTTGTTTTCTAATTTTGGCAACAGGGAAAATGTCAGGTTCTATACCTTCCCTGCCCTGCACCAAAAAGGCAACATGTTTCATTCATATTTGAAAAAGCATATTCTAGAAATGTCACAGTAACCTTTTAAGATGACAGTCTCTGCCTAGGAATTCTTGACAGCAGCTATGCACAATTATGCCAGCCACATATTAAACTTTCTTACATCATCTTCCCAAAAGTGATAGCCTGAGAAGACTGCGTTTAGATGACTGGATGGAAGGAAATGCAAACTTGAGGCCTTTATTTATTTATTTTTCTTTTTGAGACAGGAATAGAAAAAGTGAAATTCAATTTCTGGTTTACTTATTGGCAAAATGACTCATTTAAGTCATTTAACGATAATAATATTATCCTCTCAATTTCCCTATGAAGCTAAAATATCAGAGTATAGTACAAATTTAGAATATTGAGCACAATTAATTTTGAACTTTGATGTGTTCATTATACATGTTTCCATTATGCATTTTTTCTTAAAACAAGGCAAAAAAATCACAAATGTATTCTACAAACCACTGAGAGCATTGTAGTGCATTTTCTAAATGGCTGATTTAAGTACATAAAATGCCAATGACAAACAGTAGCTTTATTGTGCATATCGGAAAGTTATTCATAGAATCCCAAGTTTTCTTCTAGTTTGCAATAATTGTAATGATTAAGATGATAGAGATGATGGCTGATGATGGTAACAGTGACCACACTAACATTTGTATGACTATTATGTGCCAGAGGCTGCTGAAATTGTCTTCCATGCAGTAACACCTTTGATTGTCTTTTAGGTAAATAGTGC